TACATATGATAGGTAGAAAATTGCATCTGATTACAAATATTGTTTACATATAATAAAAAGAGCAAGGGTCTGCGTTCACACTGAGATGGATTTGGATTTATTGGTAACATGTGTTTGACTGTTAACATTAGTTATTACATTTCTAACTCCTAAATAATTATAATTATTAAGAATATTTGCAGCATGCTGTCGTGCAAAAGTAAACATGGAAGCCACTGAATCTTATGTTATTCATGAGACAATATGTAGTGGAAGCAAACCGTTTCAACAACAATGAATAGAAAAGCTAATGTGAAGCATCAGCTGCACATTCTTTAGGGAAGTGTTGATGAGAAATGAGAACATGATGAGTGTGTTGGTGAGAAATGAGAACATGATGAGTGTGTTGGTGAGAAATGAGAACATGATGAGTGTGTTGATGAGAAATGAGAACACGATGAGTGTGTTGATGAGAAATGAGAACATGAGTGTGTTGATGAGAACATGATGAGTGTGTTGGTGAGAAATGAGAACATGATGAGTGTGTTGATGAGAAATGAGAACACGATGAGTGTGTTGATGAGAAATGAGAACACGAGTGTGTTGATGAGAACATGATGAGTGTGTTGGTGAGAAATGAGAACACGAGTGTGTTGATGAGAAATGAGAACACGAGTGTGTTGATGAGAACATGATGAGTGTGTTGGTGAGAAATGAGAACACGATGAGTGTGTTGGTGAGAAATGAGAACACGAGTGTGTTGATGAGAAATGAGAACATGATGAGTGTGTTGATGAGAAATGAGAACACGAGTGTGTTGATGAGAACATGATGAGTGTGTTGGTGAGAAATGAGAACACGAGTGTGTTGATGAGAAATGAGAACATGATGAGTGTGTTGATGAGAAATGAGAACACGAGTGTGTTGATGAGAACATGATGAGTGTGTTGATGAGAAATGAGAACACGAGTGTGTTGATGAGAAATGAGAACATGATGAGTGTGTTGGTGAGAAATGAGAACATGATGAGTGTGTTGATGAGAACATGATGAGTGTGTTGATGAGAAATGAGAACATGATGAGTGTGTTGATGAGAACATGATGAGTGTGTTGATGAGAAATGAGAACATGATGAGTGTGTTGATGAGAACATGATGAGTGTGTTGATGAGAAATGAGAACATGATGAGTGTGTTGATGAGAAATGAGAACATGATGAGTGTGTTGATGAGAAATGAGAACATGATGAGTGTGTTGATGAGAACATGATGAGTGTGTTGATGAGAAATGAGAACATGATGAGTGTGTTGATGAGAAATGAGAACATGATGAGTGTGTTGATGAGAAATGAGAACATGATGAGTGTGTTGATGAGAACATGATGAGTGTGTTGATGAGAACATGATGAGTGTGTTGATGAGAAATGAGAACATGATGAGTGTGTTGATGAGAAATGAGAACATGATGAGTGTGTTGATGAGAAATGAGAACATGATGAGTGTGTTGATGAGAACATGATGAGTGTGTTGATGAGAAATGAGAACATGATGAGTGTGTTGGGATTTTTGGGAAATGAAATGAGAACATGATTGAGTGTGTTGATGAGAAACATGATGAGTGTGTTGATGAGAAATGAGAACATGATGAGTGTGTTGATGAGAAATGAGAACACGATGAGTGTGTTGATGAGAAATGAGAACATGATGAGTGTGTTGATGAGAAATGAGAACACGATGAGTGTGTTGATGAGAAATGAGAACATGATGAGTGTGTTGATGAGAAATGAGAACATGATGAGTGTGTTGATGAGAAATCCCGGTGAAAGAATATGTAGAATTTATGTTTTTTTATGACCTGCATTTCCTGTTTTATGAACCTCTATGTTGCCTGTGTGTAATGCTTTTCAAAGATGCTTTTAAGATGCTTTCAATTGTCTTTTTAAAATATTAGCTGGGTCAAATATGCGTATAAGAATCAGACTAGGGCCACTAATGCAAAGGACAGTACACAGAGGTGGTGGCATCAAACACTGCAATGCATAGGAATGGATGACATACACAAAACACATTTTGTAATCTCAATCTTTATTTATTTATATTGCACATTTAAAACAACCTCAGTTGACCAAAGTGTGTAGAGGGAACAAATACAATATAGAATAACACAACAGGAGAATTTAATCTATACTTGTGTCTTGCTTTGCAGCTCTGGTTTTATTTTGGTTATATAATATCTGTCTCTCCAGTTCAATGGACTCTTTTTAATGTTTTTCAAGTTTCAAGGCTTTATTGTCATTAGGACATTAGTGTAGATGTCAATGAAACACTTAAGTCACAGGCTCCTCCAACAGTGCAACATATATATATATTTGATTTGATTTGATTTATTTCGAACGTGTAAAAGAATAATACAAAAAATTATAATAATAATGAATTGAAACATGATAATTATGATACTGTACAAACTTAAGCAGTATCAAATTGATAAACAACAATATTATTGACTTACAAATTATATATTACATTACATGTCATTTGTTAGCTTTTATCCAAAGCGACTTACATACATTCAGTACTGTGGACGATCCCCACAGGAACAATTTGGGGTGAAGTGTCTCAGGGACACAACGACATGCTGACTGCAGTGGGACTCAAACTTGCTATCCCCTGATTCAAAGTCCAGCACACACAAATAGTGCAAGAGAATGTTTGGAGATGTGCAAGTAAATGGAATGATGTATTGGATAAATAATTAGCTAAATATTGTGTTTGGTGTCCCTCAGGGTCCCCGATGATTCTGACTCTCAGACCGGGTCCATCCGGCAGAGACAGAACTGCCTGGAGTCTCAGAAGCTGGAGGGCCAGGATCTGCCCGTCCTCACGCTGACCCCCTGCAGCGGGAAGGAGGGCGTCCCCGCCGTCAACCAGGTGATTCTACTATTCAAATTCAAATGTATTTATATAGCCCAATATCACAAAACAATCATTGATTGAAAACACGTTTGTCTCAGAGGGCTTCACAAATCAACAAACATATCTGAGAATATAGTAAAATGACAAGATAAATGTGAAAATACCAATGAATGGGTACAAAACACAATGACACAAATACAGTTAGAATACAATAAATTTCATAAAATGAAGAGTCCATGAGGATGTTCAAAAGGGGGTTTAAAACCAGTCCTAACTGTCATTTTGGTATTTTAAGTACATGTTCCAATACTTGAAAAAACGTTTTCTTGTAACAGAGTAAAAGTTATGGGAGAGAGTGTACTAATTAATACCCGTAGGAGTCTCATTATTCTGTTAAAAGTGAGTGGAGGAATGTCAGAGGATAAAATGCCTGAAGGCTCGAGGGTCGCTGGTTAAAATCCCCAGACTCACAGGGAAAACAGTGTGTGTGTGTGTGTGTGTGTGTGTGTGTGTGTGTGTGTGTGTGTGTGTGTGTGTGTGTGTGTGTGTGTGTGTGTGTGTGTGTGTGTGTGTGTGTGTGTGTGTGTGTGTGTGTGTGTGTGTGTGTGTGTGTGTGTGTGTGTGTGTGAGAAGCCCTGAAGGCTCTGTTTGCTCAGAAGTCGGGTTTGAAGTGAGACTCCCAGGTGGGAATGTTTTTCAATACAATATGACTAATGTAATTAATTTTCCTCTTCTGTCAGTTTCTCTGTGAGAAGAGAGTCCCTCTCCCCTGGTGTTTGCAAATATACTCAGCCGATCTAATTAAAAGAAATCCACATTAAAGGAAACTTTCATTTTCTCACACCCTTAGAGTCTTACAGCTCAGAACTGGTGAGAAATACTAACAGGGAGTTTTCTATCCAACCAGACTTTAAAATGACATGTTTGAAGCTTCCTGCTAATGGCCTCTTGTAGTTATTTGAATATGAACCTTCCTATCTCTGACGTAAAGGAGTGTAATCTAACAAAACCCTTGACCCCATGTCCCCTACTTGACAGCCAGTGTTAGTTTATTTCCCCATTATTATATACTGATATATATATTCATGGAGACAAAGTAGAGACTCTACATACTGATATACACCTGAACATCAGCAGGAGAGGACTCTTTTGCCGCGTTTCCACTACACGGCCTCGCTCGGCCCCGCTCGGTATGGCTGGGCCTCGTTAGGACTGGCTCACTTTATGGCGCATTTCCATTACAGTTTAGGAACTGGGGCAGTATCTATAGTAACGCAGTGTAGGCGGAGCCGTGACGTGATCTTCAGAGGACCCCAGAAAAACAACACAGCCGTTAGCTGTTAGCACTCAGAGCTCACAGCTCCTCATATCTGTTCAGAAACTAGACAAAAGTTAAACAAGTACAAACCACAGACTGCCTGTGTCATGGTGAATACAGTCGCTGCTTTATTTATGTCTGTATAGGCCGTTGTTGTGAGTGTGGACGGTCGGAGCATATACTGCGTTAGCTTAGCCAATCTCCATTTAGAAAACAAGCATTTTAAAAGGTTTTTCCCCTGCCGTCTGTCTGCAGACTTGACAAAGCATTAATTCATGGTTTTTACTAACCGGTATCAGTATGTTGTTACTTCGGCATCATTTTGAAACGTGTATTACAATTAAATCACGGTCAAATATGTCCATCTTGTTGTAGTTGTAGCCCCCTTGCCAGCGACGCTCTCTCTAGTTTAGCATACTCAGCCCGACTCAGCCTCGTTGTCTCTGGCCCTGGCCCCACGATTTTATGAGGCCAGAAAAACTGTGAATTAGGACCCGCCGGCCGGTACTAGGCCAAGTGGAAACGCAACCAAAGACGGGCCGCTGACGTCACAGCCCTCTTAAACCGGGCTGCGGGCTGTAGTGGAAACGCGCCATTTAAAGTAGAGACACTACATACTGATATACACCTGAACATCAGCAGGAGAGGACTCTTTAAAGTAGAGACACTACATACTGATATACACCTGAACATCAGCAGGAGAGGACTCTTTAAAGTAGAGACACTACATACTGATATACACCTGAACATCAGCAGGAGAGGACTCTTTAAAGTAGAGACACTACATACTGATATACACCTGAACATCAGCCGGAGAGGACTCTTTAAATTAGAGACACTACATACTGATATACACCTGAACATCAGCAGGAGAGGACTCTTCAAAGTAGAGACACTACATACTGATATACACCTGAACATCAGCAGGAGAGGACTCTTTAAAGTAGAGACACTACATACTGATATACACCTGAACATCAGCAGGAGAGGACTCTTTAAAGTAGAGACACTACATACTGATATACACCTGAACATCAGCAGGAGAGGACTCTTTAAAGTAGAGACACTACATACTGATATACACCTGAACATCAGCAGGAGAGGACTCTTTAAAGTAGAGACACTACATACTGATATACACCTGAACATCAGCAGGAGAGGACTCTTTAAAGTAGAGACACTACATACTGATATACACCTGAACATCAGCAGGAGAGGACTCTTTAAAGTAGAGACACTACATACTGATATACACCTGAACATCAGCAGGAGAGGACTCTTTAAAGTAGAGACACTACATACTGATATACACCTGAACATCAGCAGGAGAGGACTCTTTAAAGTAGAGACACTACATACTGATATACACCTGAACATCAGCAGGAGAGGACTCTTTAAAGTAGAGACACTACATACTGATCTACACCTGAACATCAGCAGGAGAGGACTCTTTAAAGTAGAGACACTACATACTGATATACACCTGAACATCAGCAGGAGAGGACTCTTTAAAGTAGAGACACTACATACTGATATACACCTGAACATCAGCAGGAGAGGACTCTTTAAAGTAGAGACACTACATACTGATCTACACCTGAACATCAGCAGGAGAGGACTCTTTAAAGTAGAGACACTACATACTGATATACACCTGAACATCAGCAGGAGAGGACTCTTTAAAGTAGAGACACTACATACTGATATACACCTGAACATCAGCAGGAGAGGACTCTTTAAAGTAGAGACACTACATACTGATATACACCTGAACATCAGCAGGAGAGGACTCTTTAAAGTAGAGACACTACATACTGATATACACCTGAACATCAGCAGGAGAGGACTCTTTAAAGTAGAGACACTACATACTGATATACACCTGAACATCAGCAGGAGAGGACTCTTTAAAGTAGAGACACTACATACTGATCTACACCTGAACATCAGCAGGAGAGGACTCTTTATGGGACTTACATGTATTTGTGGTAATTGTGTATCCTTCTTGTGATTTGGATCCTCCCCCAAATGTACAGTAACTGGTTCCTCTATATGTCATACTAAAGCCCTCCACCAAGTTTAATAAAGTCATGTGAGTCAAACAACATCTGTAAACCTGCTGATTAAACGGAGAAACAGAAAAAACAAACCCAGCGGAAAACCACGAAAACAACCAGATGTAAAAACTGCAAAAATGCAAAATACTTTTAGTATAGCTTTAAACAGATATACTGTAAGGCGGACATGTGTAAGTCATCTGAAATATGTACTGAAAACATAAAGAGTTTGGTCCCTGAGAGACAATGACAGGATTCCCACTTTGCACCAGCTCTCACACACAGAGGGAGAAATCAATAACAGGGAGGCAGGGAGACCAATGTGTAAACTAGCAGAGAACAGACTTCTTAATGTCAGTCAAAGGATTCAAATATACACACACTTGCTCCATTACAAGTCTCACAAGGCTGACAGCCGCCTATAACAGAGAGGAAGGTGCCGGGCATGAAATACGAGCCACTGAGCTGCAAAACACGTCTTTCTGAACACAATCTGGTCCAAATGTAATGAGAGCAAAAGCATGAAGCTGCAGCTACGCCTGGTTCTGAATGAGAGCATGAAAACGAGTCCGTGCTTAGTCGACTGTTTCAGAAGAATAAAGCTTACTCTCACATCTTCCAACACAAGACCGCAGGTGTTGCTCTGAGCCAAAGTGCATTTTGTTTTTAACCTTTTATTTGATCCGGGGAACATTTCTGCTGATCTGTGTTTCTACAGAACCACTGAGAATGTTAACCTGCAGACCATAACCCTGATTCATCTGAGGAGCGGCTTCAACACAGCTGGATTTCTCCATTAATGCATCTAATAGGCTTGTTTGTACTATGTTTTCAATTCCTTTGGTTTGGTTCAGGTGTATATACTGATATACAGCTGAACATCAACAGGAGAGGACTCTTTAAAGTAGAGACACTACATACTGATATACACCTGAACATCAACAGGAGATGACTCTTTAAAGTAGAGACACTACATACTGATATACACCTGAACATCAGCAGGAGAGGACTCTTTAAAGTAGAGACACTACATACTGATATACACCTGAACATCAGCAGGAGAGGACTCTTTAAAGTAGAGACACTACATACTGATATACACCTGAACATCAGCAGGAGAGGACTCTTTAAAGTAGAGACACATACTGATATACACCTGAACATCAGCAGGAGAGGACTCTTTAAAGTAGAGACACTACATACTGATATACACCTGAACATCAGCAGGAGAGGAC